CCCGAGACTTTCACACATTTTTAATCCAAAATCGAGCTGTCGCCTGAGACTTTCACACATTTGAAATGCAAAAACGAGCTCTCGCCTGAATTTTTTCCTGATTTGGATTGCCAAATCAAGCTCTCGCCTGAGACTTCCTATCAAAACAAGCCAAAAACGAGGAATAAAAAAACTCAAAATAAAACAAACAAATTCCCAAATTAATTCTGCACCCAAAATGAAATGGACACCCCCAATGATGGATTATGACAACCTGGAGCAGCTTTTCAGGTGTTTGGCGCCTCTTCTCGCATTTTTGGCGATGAGGCCTTGGGACCCTGGCAGGATCAAAGCCACGTTTGTAGAATGCGACAGTAGATGTGCTAATTAGTAATAACCATAATATAGCAGGCGTACGAACATAGAAGTAATCCCAATCGTACTTTATAGTACTCCTATTTATCATAGGAATAGTAATACTAGTAGTAAGAATACTGCCAGTAGCAGGTTGGCTGTGGTGCAGACGCAGCGGCGGCGCCTAACCAGGCAATTCTTTGTTGCACGGGTTTAGCTCGGTGACTCAATGAAGCAAGGTGGGTCATCATTGCGTATTTGCCAAAGGTCCTTCGTCAACAACCTGGTGAGACACTCAGCGCCAACAATTCAACCTCTTAGTCTGATTAAACCTACATACCTCTATGTAAAAACCTAAATCCCCATACCCCTGCATCCTTGTAGGCACATTGCATTGCTTACTGGCGGTTGCTAGAGAATAAGGGAATATTTTCCCTCTATATCCCTATATAATCACTGTTCCCGTATTCCCCATTCATCTCCAGTAAGATTGGCCTGCATTCTTTCTGAGGTGGATTTCGAATCCGAGCGCTACACGTACGCACTGGCATGGCTAGCATGGCGTGCCGGGAGCCTCTGTTCCAGACGTGCTCTTTTCGTTGCAGACTGCTTTTTCCACTAGTAGTAGGGGAGAATGGAATATTAAATGGGGGTCATATAGGCATCATATTCCCATATTCACTACTAACCACCGGTAAGCCTTCTTGTCTTGTGTTGCATGTTGCTGTCGTTTTTTGACTTCCCAGCTGAGCTTTCAGGCAATGCCGTGGCTCAAGATGTACATCTCCAAATAGCCTGAGTCATGGAGCAGATGCCAGGGCCATGGGTGCCAGCAGCATTAGAGCCTCAAACCAACAACAGCGGGTATCTACTGCAGCACAAGATGAAACATCTATGAATCATTGCTTTGTCGCCCGGTTTTGTGGGAGCAAGAAACCTTGTTCAGATGGTGAGTTGATCACAAGGATCCTTGCCATGGGCAACGGGGCTTCACAGGCCGACGAGGCGTCACAAGCCGATGGCTGCTGCCTGCTGGTGGTTAGTAGGAAACGAAGGAGTGTCATCCCTATATAATCCCTAAACGGTCCCTATCCCTATATGATCACTTTAAAAAGCCTATATGATCCCTACATAATCCCAATATAGTATATGCCCATACTATTCCCCACTAACCACGAGTAAGGCTGCTGTAAGAGCACTACAGCCGGTGGCGAGATCTCAGAGCCCAACACCAATGCTAAGGGTTCAGTGGAGATCCTTGCCATGAGGTTAAGGCTTTAGGGGCTTAGGGTTTACGGTTTAGGGGCTTGGGTTGTTCTCACAATTATAGGCCCCGTCTGGTCATTAACTATACACCTAAGAAGTCTGTACTAAAATGTGACTAAATGTTGGGAACTTCCCCTCTGCTTCAACATTGGGTCACAGCATGTTCATGTCTTCGAGAAAGCGCCTGTCCAAGGATACTGGAGCAGGGCCTCAACATGCACCGGATACTGGCTTGCTGTTAGTGGTTTGGGGTTTAGGATTTTGAGGAGATGTTCATGAACTTGAATTAGTCCAACCATCACGAGGAAATCATATCTTTTGTTCCGATATAAACAAGCCATCCGTATAATCCCAAGCACCAAAGCCTGAAATGGTCACTTAGTTGAACAGCCTCCCAGAAAACCACATTGCCATGGTATGTGTATGTATATATACATATATATATATATATACCCTCGCTTAGCTTCATTAAGGCTCCCTAACAACCCTAACCCCCAAACCCTAAACCCTGATGGTAGTTTCAGCCTCCGATGATGGCCTAAGCCCTAAGCCCCTAACCCTAAACCCTAAATAGTAGTTTCCATTTTCTTTCCATTAGCCCAATATATCCCCAATATACCACCTAGATGATAATATAACCTCAATATCAATATAACCCTAATGTAGTTTAACGGCCTCCCAGGATAGCAGGTGCTGCTGCAGGTGCCGCGGGGGCCGTGCAGAATGCGGCCCTGGCTCTTGGTGATGCCCTACAGGATGATAAGAGCTCCGAAGGCGGCGAGGCGCTGCCCGAAGCCCGGGGGTTTGAGTGTAGGATTTAGGGTTTAGGACTTAGGACGTGGGGTTTAAGGTTTAGTACCATTACTTAGTGTTTTGGGGAGGCATTTTGGTTTTGAACGTTTGAACTTTTAGAATTACGGAAATTTTGGTACCCGAAGTAATGGTAAGTTTATATGGGCTTGAGGGTTTAGCGTTCAGGCTTGGGGTTTGTAGATTTAGGATGGTTCAGGGTTAAAAGCTTCTTTGCGTTTCCGAGTTCATGTTCAGACACCGCGGCCTGACTGCAGGGTTTCTTCGGAGCTTCAGCAGCACCAGAAGGATACGCAGGACCATCCATGGATCCCTCAGGGTTTATGTAGGGGTAATATAGGGGATATATGATATAGGGGTTATTTAGGGGTAATACAGGGGTTATGTAGAGATATGTAGGGTTGAATTCCTTGCTGCAAGAAGTATGCATACCTCTCCCTGCAGCCGCAGGACATATTTGGGTCCAGCTTGAGTCCTATGCCCGGGCCTCAAGTTTTGCTGCTAAAGCCCAAGCCACTAACCCAAAAACTTCCCGCTTTGGTTAACAAGATCCATAATAGTAGTAGTAGTAGTAGTAGTAGAAGAAGTAATACCCATACTGGCAATATTCATAATACTACTAATGATATTATTAATACCAATACTAAAAGCATCAGCATCCTTGCCAGGCTCACCATAGCCACATCACAGTGTGGCCCGGCAAGCATTGACATGCTGTTCGCTTGCAGCATGTTCCTGTGGCTTTGTATTTAACGGAGAGCAAGCACGGTTGAACTCATGCATGAAGACGGTTCTAGGGGATAATGCCAAAGATAAGACCTAGGTATGCCTTCTTAGCCTCCGAAGTCATGATGCGATGTAGTAGCTTCCGTTTTCACCCCTATCATTTTAAATCATCAGGAGAATGGCAGCCACCAGTCCATGTCCCAAAGAGTCCCCTTCATTTGAGGAAACTGGTGGGACTTTGCGTGGCCATCGGTTTGATTGTGACCTCCATTCTCGGGATGCTGAATCTCTGGGGGGCAGATTTCCAAGTCTTCGAGTATCTGTGGTCTCCTTAGGAATTTTTCATTTTTTGTATAGGAGAACCCAAAGGAACTATTAGAATTCTACTATAGGTCTAAGGGGATTCCCAGGTATGTCCACGCAATTTGGAATCTGCCCTTCGGACTACTCATGATCCTCATGGATGCAACGCCCACCTGGCTCGGGAAAGCCGCAGGATGGCAGACGGCGCTGTGGAAGAAAGCTCCGATCCTTGCCAGAGCCCGGTAGCTTAGTCGCATGTGGAGAAGGTGGTGTGGGACAGGCTTTATCTGCTGGCAGTACACGCGGAATGATGGCACGCTAAACCCCAAGCTCTAAACAGATTCAGATATTCCACCTGCGGGTGGAACAAGGTCCGATGGAAAAGATAACATTCCGGAAAGCAACAAAGTACTGTGCATTGAGGCTTCAAGGGCAGCGTGTAGGATGAATCATGATGAATCATGTGCAGGGGCCGAGCCTTGACGCACTTCTATGTGGGAACGATCAACTTGGCGATGTTCACGGCAGATGAATCATTTCTTTGGATGTTGATCCACATCTGCATGGGTGGGGCGCTGTGTGCCTGCGGCCTCCTCATGCTCTTTCATCACCACTGCTATCAGTGCCGGAGAAAGCGGCATGTTCAAAACAACGCCAACGCCGTAGCCAACGTGGTTCACAACGCCAACCGGGCAGTGGACGTCTTGAAGGAGGAAGCTGTGGAGGCACAGCAAGAAGTGACATGATAGGGTTCATATTGGGGTTACATAGGGGATAATGGACAATCAAATGCAAAAATGGAAAATGAAATGGAGACTACCATTCAGGATTTAGGTTTAGGGTGTAACTTCACTCAAAGCAAAACCTTGCTCTGGGAGGTCCGGGCCTACATTGCGGCCAACCACTGCAGCGTTCGCATCTTTTGCTTCTTGGTGGCCCTGGCCCTTGTGGTAGCCTCCGTGCTGGGCATGATCAACATCTTCAGCTTGGTCTTTGACCCTTTCCACTACCTGGTTGGTGTCTACAACTTCTTCTTTGCACTCGCCACTGGGTTGCTGTTAATTAAGGACCTTAAGTTAAGTTGCCAATAATATGGGTACATAGTAAATATTACCACTACTACTCAGGAAACCCGTATTATTGCAACTTAATTCATGTGACCATCATAATATGGGTATATAGTAAACAATAGGTTTTCCTTATTAAAGTAACCCGAAACCCCATCATTTACTGAACCCTATGTACCCTCATTATTGCAACTTAAATTAAGTTACCATACTAACATGGGTATAGAACAAAAATGGGGTTTCTGCAGTTTCCCTAGTATTGTAACCCTAAACCCTAAACCCTAAACATCCTATATACTCTATATACCCTATATACCCTATATTCT